TCTTGGTGTGGGGCTCCTGTCTTGGTCAGCAAAGTCAGCACAAAAAACATGAAAATCACGAAGACTGCAAGACCAACCCAAAATCCAATCACAATAGAATCTGCAAGACAGTTAATGCTGGGATTAGTATTTCACAGGAACTGAAAACTCGGAAAATCAAGAAATCTGAGCTTTTTGGTACATGAAGTGAGACAGGACGTCAACAATCTCATGAGACAACCTTGACCCACCCATGAACTGGGGACAGATAGTATGTAGGGAAGGAGGGGCAGAGAAGAATCTGTGTTGCCTCCAGGCTCCAGGCTCAGGAAACACTAGGAGACTTCAGCCTTACTGACTGTGGGTTTCCTTATCCCAGTAAAGGATCCTAGGACAGAACACAGGCCATCTAGGTCCCCAAGATTTCACTGAAGTGTCTTGAGTTAGAAAATCCAGTTTGTAGCAGAAACTGCGATGTAAAATTTTAAATAAATTCTGATTCAAACCAACTCTGTTTTGTGTTTTCACTGCTGTTCACGCTGGAATAGCTCAGGTCCCCGTTACCTCTTGCTGAGAACATACAATTAGCCTCCTGCACTGTCTTCTGTCTTCTCTGTGCAAACCTGCTTGTCAGAACTCTGATAATATTGCTCTTTTATGAAAAACTCTTCAACAACAACAGACCTGACCTTCTCCAGGTTAAAAGGGGCTCTGTACATAAGCCACTTTACACAATGCCTGACATCTGAGTAGGTACCGCACATTTGCCAGCTATGATGGTTGAAATTACTTTCTCCCAGCTTACCCCTACTTTAAACCCATGTTTCCAGTCAGACGAGGGGACACTGTGTCCCTGTATATACCTTAACTCTTAGCCAGAACTCCTAATCCCCGTGCCTTCTTAGGGCTCTCACTTTCACCTGGCTCAGGCAACCTCCCCAACCAAGAGCTGAGGAAAGTCCACCCATCCCCCAAAGCCCATCCTGACACCACCTTCCTCACCAACCTGGACTCACTTCCCCAGCGATGTGCTCTCTCCCTCCTCAGAACACCATGGCATTTCTGTCTATGCTTGTCCACATGGGCTCTTCCTTGATCCTGTCTTGGGTAATAGTCATAACTGTATGTCTCTGGAACAGGGATGAGATGGACTGTCTGCAGAACCTGGCCCATATAAAATAGGGTCTCAAATATAGAGGAGACAACAGAGTTTAATTATAATATTTTCTGATTTATTCTAATAACTCACCCGACGTGGGAATACAGTGAGAATACTTAGCAATTTTAAAAAATAAATAGCCTATACACTAAATGTATTAATGCAAAGCATTATTCTAATTAAATTCTAATTTATTTTTCTAAAGCAAAAAAAAAAAATCACACTAGCAAGTTACTCTGCATAATTCATACCTTCAGTCTATATATACTACTGCCTAAAGGCTAACAATTTTATTCAACAATGTGCTGAATAATCAGCACTCTGGATGCAAAACTACTGTATGTTTGCTAGGGTTAAATGTGCCAAAGAAACAGAAATTGTAGACTTAGCCTTACAGTGGAAATGAGGCCTAAAAAAGACACAAGGACAAGCTCCAAAAAACACATGTAAACAAGTGCAACCAATACGGAACAACATCTCAATTATGGGGGCACAGACTGTGAAGCAGTGTCGTACAAACCAATGAAGCACACTGCACTTCATCAACCGCCTGCACAGCAACAGCAACTTCTAAAATGACACATCAGCCTTGCATTTAAGTCCTCAATTGAGAATCGAATCTAGTCATAATGATTCACTTTTCAAATCTGTTTACTAAGGGATTCTCACCAGGACAGCTTTCACACTGCAAGTGGTAGCTGCGTCCCCATGAGTCCTCCGCTTCCCAAACCCAGAGTGGGCGGAGGTGAAAGAGGAGGGTCTTCGCCCAGCCCAGACCTTTCCCTCGGGCCTACTAGCGACCCAGGGAGCTGATCAAAAAGCAGCAATAGCCCTGGCCGGTTTGGCTCAGCGGTTAGAGCGTCAGCCCAGGGACTGGGAAGTCCCTGGTTCGGTTCCCGCTAAGGGCAGGTACTTCAGTTGCGGTTTGTCCCCAGCTCCGGCTGGGGTCGTGTGGGTGTAACCACTCGGTGTGTCTCTCTCACATTGATATTTCTCTCTCTCTCTTCCTCCTTCTCTCCATCCCGCTCTGTCTGAAGATAAATGCAAAAATGCCCTTGGGTGAGGATTTAATTAATTAATTAATTTTAAAAAGCAGCAATAATGTGGGGCATGAGTGGGTTCCAGCCATCAGAGGAGTCACGCGGGAACATAGTGGTTCTGTGGTTAGAATGTGAGAATCTCTGTGATCTGATGCAACAGTTATTTCCAAATGTTTCCTTGATAATGTGGCATCTCCAGTTCTCATCACAATATGTTTCGTTTTTCCTTATTTATGCAGTTTTGCTTATTCACATTCCCCTTCAAACAAAATTCTGCTTCCTTAGATTATTTCCTTTACTTCTGCTCTACCTCATCCTCGGCCACGTGGGCCAACCCCAGAATACACTCTCACCCTAAGCTCCTCTCTGGGAGGAATGGAGAGCCCCATCTCACCCCAGGAACATACAACCTCTCCTACAATTTTGTTTATATGCCAAGTTTCACGGGCATGGGCACCATGGTAAAATAGGGAACACACAGCTCTTGTTCTTCCTCAAAACACCCTTCCTGGGAGAAAGTCGGCGTAGAGGCTCATACAGAGTGAGTTTCTAATGAGTCCAGTGGCTAAGGAAGCCAAGAGAAGCCTTCCAAAGTGGCTCTCAGCGACCTCTTCTGTCCTGTCTGGAAACTGAGCTTCTCAGAAAGCATTACAGTGAGCGGGTAGAGTAAATGGGAATTATAGACGGGATGGATCATACTAAAATAATCTCCCCTTAACCTGACCTCAAGCGAACGAAAGGATCAAGAGAGCTGACAGCTGCGTGCTTTTCACTAGTAAGATGTTGCCTCCATATAGTATCTGTTTCTACTCTAGGGTAGGACCAGAGCCACTACCCCATCTCCTGTCCTCTCCGCCTCCTGAGAATAAATTGTGACCTTTTCATCTTGTAGTTCTATGAAAAACAAAGGTTAAAATTTAATTTGAAACAAAGGACTCAGGACACCAGAGTCAGCACTGTCCTCACACCTCTTCTGATTCCTACAGCACAAAGGTGGGTTCTGTGGTAGGGATTTCTGGCAAGGAGCCAACAGCAATGTTCCAGTACTTGTCTCTACTGGGCTCCCAGTGACATGTCTGACTCCAAGCCTTCGAAAGCTCCAGCTCTGCTTCTCAGCTGGATGACCTGTCTTCCTGCTGATGCATCCATACACGTGTTAGACATGATCTGCAAGTCGGCATAGAATACATCGTGGAATGTGGCGACCAGTGATAGCTCAGAAGAAGAGAATGCTCCTTCAGTCCTTCCTCAACACAGCAGCCAGAATGGTCCTGCTAACATGTAACCATGCCCACACCAACTTACAGGCTTTTGCTCCTGCTTCTCTAAGAACACCCTGTCTCACCCAGCCAAGCCCTTCATAACTGTTTCATTTCTCTTCTTCACTTTATAGCAAAATTCTGGAGAGATTTTTCCTGTCCTATTTTTTTGAACCAATTCCATCAACCTTTCACTCCCACAGCTCTCACTAAAATGGATTTTAAAATCATTGCCAGTAACTTCTACATTGTAAATCCAACAGTGAACTCTCAGTCCTCAACTAACTTGACCTAACAGCATTTGACACAGACCACTGTGTCATCATTGAAACCCTTTCTTCACTTGGCTGCCAGGAAAACACAATTGCCCAGTTTTCTTCCTACCTTTCTGTAAATTCCACCCAGGTTCCTTTGCTGCTGTCTTCTCCACATCCCCCAATTTCTAAATACTAGTGGGCCAGGCTCAATTCTTGGACCTCTGTCGTTTTCTACCAACACTCATTCATCCGATCTCTTGGACATCATGTATATGCTGATAACTCCCAAATTTCACTGCACTCCTCTCCCCCCATGTCTTCTGGGATGTCTGATAGATCTACATTTAATAGATCCAAAACTGAGTGCATGGTGTTCCTGTTTCTCCTGTCGTTTCCCCCCATCTCAATGAATGGCAAGTCATCCTGCCAATTACTCAGATCACAGATCTGCAGATCATCCTGGCTTTTCTCTTTCTTTCACCCCATTGCCACTCCACTGGCAAATCCTGGTCTGATCTATCTTAAAAAAATATCCAAATCATAAGCTTCTCACTACTCTACTGCCCCCACAAAGGCCAAGCCACCACCATCAGCTGCCTGAACTATTACAATAGCCCTGTGACTGGTCTCTGCTTCCAATTTCATCTTTTTCCTTTCTTGGCTGCAGAGTGGTTTTACTGAAACCAAAGCCAGATGCCACTCCTCTGCTCCAAACGCTCAAATTACCTCTCAAAAAACAAACTAAACAAACAAACAACTCAAAGTCCTCAGCATGACCTCTAAGGCCCCAGTACCCTCTCCCACATTACCTGGTTTCATCTCCTGCTGCTCTGCCTCTTCTTCCCTCCCCTGGTCCCGAGCTGGGCTCCTGTTGCTTCTTGCAGGTTCCAGTTCATAACTGCATGGAGCAGTTTCTGGAATGTTCTTCCCTCGATATCTTATAGCGCAATTTCTTATTTCTTTAAGGTCTTTTCTCAAATGTTTCCCTCTCAGTACGCCCTTCCATGACCACTCTACACTTTTACTTCCACATCATCTTTCCCTACTTTATTTTTCCTTTCTTTTTTTTAATCATCATGGGGCATAGTTTGTTTATTCAACTTATGTATTGTCTGTCTGTCTCACTAAAATGCAATAAGTGTAAGAGGAAGTATTTTTGCCTTTTCTGTTCACTGTTGTCTCTCCAATGTTTAAAACAGCACTGCACAAAACAGGTGCTCAATAAATATGTACTGAACGAATAAATGTCCATTTCGCTTGTACCAAATGTCAGTCTGACATATGTCCACTTCTGATACACTATAAGGTTTAATACCAGATTAAAAACTAAGGGCAAAGGGAAATTCAAAGGACCATCAGAGGTTGTTTAGAAGGTAGGAATTTTCATTTTAGCAGGCAGAAGATCT